TGGTGTAATAAAGTGGGTTCCGTCGTTGATAGGTCCCGCCCCTGTTTAATACAGTAGGCAGCTCCACTGATACGTACCACACCGCGAGTGACACCATTATCACGTGCACACACTACTCACGCTCGCTCCTCTTGTTTATCTTACTGACACTCCCGCTCATCATCTAATGGACCCCAAAGGCTTGCTCGTCTGCTGGTCGTCTGCTGGTCCCGACCAGCGAGCAAACACGACCATTTTACAACATCCACCATTTCAGCATAACCCGCCGTTTTTGTGGGGTTTAATACAGTGCTATCTCGACATAGGTCAAACGAAACGAGTATCGGATTTTCCCGGAAATATCAAAGGTTTTGCCTCGAGAGGATTTTTTTCTTCGAGTCTCCACCCTCGGGGTTTAATGACGTTTAGGGGAGGACGTGGCCCGGGGGTAGGATCGTATGGCAGGGCCCGGGTGAGGCTCAGTTTGTCGTGCTCTCAGAAGTGACAGTCTTTAACTAATCCCATTTTTTTAATGTCGTATACATAAATACTGCAGAACGCACCAACGAACAAATTAAAAAAAAATTTTTTTAACCATGAATAGTATTTTCAGCAGTCGAAAAAGAATTTCTATTGAACGCGATTTTCAGTATTGAATAAAAAAAAATCTTTTTTTTTTTCTTCGCTTTTTTTAGATTTGTCCCCAAAAAAGTGTGATACACCCCACACCCCCCACCACAACGCCCCAAACGTGTAAAGGAAAACCTGTTTGCATAATCGATTTATGTTGTCAATTTTCATTTCCCCCTACACCGGAATCGATTCTTTACATCGTTGCGTCACTCAAAGCTCGCACCTAACGTTATTTTGGTGGTAAAATATGGACCGGGTAGAAAGGACACGAACATTTTATTTTTTTTCTTCCCTCCCTTTTATTTTATTTTGGTGCCCGATTGCTTGTACATTTAGTCAGATGTTTTCCAGTAATGGATTCTGGGATTTCAAGCTTCAAATGCGGGGTCTAGAATAATCCGCCTGGTAAAGTTGCATGCGACCTTGAACTTATTCAAGGCTGATCTCGTTTTCGTGGTTTTTTTCTCTTAAAAAATACCAGTATCTTATTTTTGTATTCCATTATGGACTCTAAAATAGAAAGAAAAAAAACTTAATCCACTCAGAGGAAACGATTTTCTAGACTGGGTTGAATACACAATTAGATATTTATAGAAAAAAGGTCAACGATGCTATTTTTTTTTAAAGTTGTTTTGACGTTGAAGTCAAAATCTTGTGTAAGCACATCTTAAACTGACCTTTATTTTATACGATACAGAAATTTGTTAAACAATTTTTTTTTTGCAAAAAAAAAAAATCGTGTATGGGTAAGATTCGCATTGATCTTGATATCTCTACCTGACGACACCTGACTTCACCAACACCAAACATTGTACGTAACACCGTCAACCACCAACATCAAACATTGTACGTAACACCGTCAACCACCAACATCAAACATTGTACATAACACCGTCAACCACCAACATCAAACATTGTACGTAACACCGTCAACCACCAACATCAAACATTGTACGTAACACCGTCAACCACCAACATCAAACATTGTACGTAACACCGTCAACCACCAACATCAAACATTGTACGTAACACCGTCAACCACCAACATCAAACATTGTACGTAACACCGTCAACCACCAACATCAAACATTGTACGTAACACCGTCAACCACCAACATCAAATATTGTACGTAACACCGTCAACCACTAACATCAAAGAGACATTTCCTTTTAAGCCTGAGTGTGAGATACCAAAATCTGAAATGACGAACACACGAGCCATTATAAGATTCTACGTGGTTGCTGTGTTCCAGTTCACGCGATCACGACTTTAAATTCAAATCAACACACACGTTTTACCAGACACCATCCCCGTCTCTCCCCCACCCTCTACAGCAGCTTACCCCACTATACACTTACGTGCCTACTGTACGCGAGGTTTGCCATTATGAACGTAGTTTTGTCAGTTTCAGGAGGAAATGCTAGAACTTATCAGAGAGAGAGAGAGAGGGGGGGGGGGGGTTAGAGAGAGGTAGGGTGAGGGACTGAGAGAGGAACAGAGGGGGTGATATTCTATCTGTATGTCGTCAATCTGCTCCGTAATGAAACAACAACAGTTAAACTGTTCATCGGTTCTCGCCCTTTGTTCGCATTATCCCCCTTTCTTCCCGGTTCAGTATTTCATTTTAATTAAACCATTAATAATCCCCTACCCTACCCTAACCCTAATCGCCATTCTCCACTTAATAAAACTCTGGTTTATTATTCTTTACAACACTCGACTTTTATGATGCCAGATTTTGCTAACACCCTTTGACAATGCCCATAAAACTTCGCATCAATTTTCTTCCCTTGACTTACGACTTTGAGCCATAAGTACTGTCTATACTTGGCATCTAACGTTTATGGTTTAACGAGGGACGAAAAACCAACACGACATATTTTCTTTGATTGGGGCAAATATTCCCATCAACATAGCAGCCAAAATAAGCAGGGGATGGCCTAGTCTTCATGTTCAGTAATGAAGAACTCAATGAAAACGGCAAGGGAATTAATTTCGAAGACGCGCACAAGGGGAGATTATCCCAGTAGTAAACGAACCAGATCAGCGCAGGCGCGACCACCCAGACTGTATGCACCAAGTTTAACTTTGTTTAACGTGTTTTTTTTTTCTCAACTGTTTTTTTTTTGTCAGATATTAATGAAATTCATCCACTCCTCCGTGAAATATTTCTAAATTTGTCTTTACAATCTAATTCTGTTTTCTTATTGATCTATGCTGTTTAACTTTTGCCTTTTTGTAAATCTTTTGTAAATCTCGAGTTGAATTATCTGACGTTTTGCTTTTCTCTCTCTTTACTCAGATGGTATTATAGGTAAGTTGGTTTCCCCCTCACCCATTGTGTTTTTTTTTTGATGTTGTGAAAACCCGTTACCTCAGCTTGATATTTTTGTTTCGGTTTTCGTGCCTGATATATTTTTAAACATCTTGGTTGCTAATTTTTTGTTGTAAAAATTCGATTTAGTTTCGTTAAAACGTGTTTATTTTTATTTTTTATTTGGTTTCTCGCGCTGGCGCATGCGTGAATGGAGACTATCGTGACCTAATTTACGTGACCTAATTGTCGTGTACTTTTTTTTTTTGTCAACAAACATTTGTATGTTTAAAGCCGTAAGCATGTTCTCTGTCACTGACATATAAAAAAAAACACTCTAAAAATAGATATCACGTGATTGTCAATGCCTTGAAATTTTTGTCATGCTCAAGTGTTATTATTGTGTTACCATAACTTGCTTTTTGTTATTGTTTACTGTAATTCAAACACGCCTGACCTGTATGATAACATCACATCCAATTCTTAAGTACTATTCACATGAAACTGATTGTTCGGTGTTATAGTTAGTCATATTTTCCTTCTAAAAGCATCGTTTCTTGTTCTTGTTTGACCTACCCATATGTCTTCACGCTCTAGTTATTTCAGATTAAACATTGTTTATGCTCTAATCATTAATTAAGATTCGTTAATGAAATGTGAATTACTTACAAACCACAAAGTAATGCATTCCCCCATCCCCCACCCCACCTATTCATATACCATATTCACTCCGTTCAGGAGTTTCTTCATGTTTCAACAAATGTATTATGTTTTGTTTTTTAATTTAAAGATTTTTTTTTTGTGTCAAACAATTAAATACTTAAAACTAATTAGCGCACGAATTATCATGTTGCATCGTGAAACTTAACGCCGACAGGAACTCTCTAAAAAAAAAGGATGTGTAATGGTGAACCTTTACATCTGAATACATAAATAGATTTTTTATAATTGGTTTTGATCTTTGTTTACCCCCCCCCCCTCCACCTAAACACAGTGCACACAGTGTGAAGCACTGTACGCAACAGATGCGAGCCAAGTAAATAACAAAACTCTCCAATTAAAATGTTTACCGGGTACCACAGCTTTAGAACTAAAGATAAATCTGGCTGAAATTGTAGTCTACTCGCCAACAGATGAGTATGTGAGTTCAAGGGCAGCGCTCATTAGTTCAGGAGTTTAAGGGGAAAGTATCACCCAATGTAAAAGTGACCAAAGAATATACAAAAAAAAATTATTGCACATACACACATGCATTTTTTACCCTAGTAGTTATAATCAAGGAGCTATAAAACGGCACATAAAAGAAAGTCAATGTATGATGCAAAAAAAAATAAATAAATAATTTGACCCAAAAAATTGTAATAAGAAATCTAGGACTGCAGTTTTCTAGCATTTTGGCCCTTCCTGCTGAAAATACGTAAGGAGATCATGAGATGCATATCAAGGTAACCTACGCCTGGAACTAGCAGATTTTTATTGTGACAACATTTGTTTATTTTACAATTTTTGAGAGCCAAACATGGGGACGGCGTGGCCTAGCGGTAGAGAGCTAGACTGTTAACCCGAGAGTCACGAGTTCGAATAAGTGGAACGTCCCTAACTCACGTTATATTCCGTGTCTATTAATCAATCACACAATTTAACCCGCTTCAAGATGCTGTCTTTCATATGGTCTCGAGTTCGAATCCGGGTTCAGAAAGAAGAGCGACTCGTGTTTGGGTACAAATGGAAAAAGACAATAATTTCCAAAAAAAATGTATAAGAAACTATTTTTTTTAAATACTTTTTTTTAGTGACGTAAAGTTTGAAAAACAGGACTTTATGATGCTTTAAGTTTCAAGATAAAACTTTACCCTTTCGTTAGATGAATAAAGTAAAAATAACTTTACTCTGTTTTTGAGATAAATAAAGTAAAGAAGTAAAGATAAATTTGATCTTGTATTTTAACGTTAAATCTTGACTCTGCACATCAAGACGTTAAAAACTTGACCATATATTTTGTGGTTAAAAAAACTTGCCCCTATATCTTGTGATTTAAAAAAAAAGCCTGACCGTGTACTTTACTACCCCCAGCCCCGGGCTCGCCTGTGATCATCCCCGAGGAGTGTTCGTGTGAAAACAACAGCGTGACCATTGCCTGGGCCCCCCAGATGGGCAGCGTGGTGGAGGCCTACACGCTTGAACTGGATGACGGGAACGGTGGAGATTTTAGGGTAAGCTCCTTCACACTGTCTGTCTGTCTGTGTGATTGTGTGTCTGTGTGTCTGTGTGTCTGTGTCTGTCTGTCTGTCTGTCTGTCTGTCTGTCTGTCTGTCTGTCTGTCTGTCTGTCTGTCTGTCTGTCTGTCTGTCTGTCTGTCTGTCTGTCTGTCTGTCTGTCTGTCTGTCTGTCTGTCTGTCTGTCTGTCTGTCTGTCTGTCTGTCTGTCTGTCTGTCTGTCTGTCTGTCTGTCTGCGTGTGTGTGCTTTTGTTTGTGTGTATGTGTGTATGGTTGGGTGAGTTCACCATCTCTGTTTTTGTGGGGTACTGTTGTGGCAGGGTAAGTTCCATGTCAATGTGTGAGTGTGTGTGAGAGAGTTTGTGTGATTGTGTGTGTGTGGTGCAGCTTAAGGCTGCTGTCACTGACGGTATGCTAGAGTAAGTTCCCCTTGGTAAATTGGAATTGATACTTTGAGTTCCCTGTGAGTTCCTTGTTAGTTCCATGTTAGTTCCCTGTTAGTTCCCTGTTAGTTCCTTGTGAGTTCCTTGTTAGTTCCCTGTTAGTTCCCTATGGGCCCCCTGTTAGTTCCATGTGAGTTCCCTGTTAGTTCCTATTAGTTGTACATAGCTCGGTTTAACTGAATATGACTAAGGAGACTAACCTGGTTCTGGATCATTATAGTGCAAAGATTAGGATTAGTGAGGAAAAAATTAACAGTTTATTGATTCAAAAGTTAGATTTAGTGAGAGAAGTTAGAAGATGACTTATTTAAAGGTCAGTTTTAGTAAAATGAAGCACTATCGAAACGTTTTCACTTGACTGATATAATTGAGAGACAAATCTTGGTTAACTTGACGTTAGGAGACCTGGACCACGGTCAATAAATCAGAGGTTGACATGTCAAGATAACGGTCAACATTTAGAGAAGGTTGACAGTCTCGTGCATGTAGGAGATTTTCACCCACATGAGGGTGCATTTGTGTGGGGTGTGGGGTTACGTAATAAACAACATTTCCGGTGTAAGAATATTCTAGAACCAATAGTGCTAACGGTAGTGTTAAAAATATTTTTTTCTCTAGACCTACGGGAGTCGTTTTTTTTTTTTAAGGGCAGGTTAAACCCCCCCCCAAAATACAAATTTAAGTCAGAAATGTTGATTTTTGAAAATCTATTGTTTCTGAAACTACATTCAATTCTGAACATTTTTGTATAATCATTTTGCAAAATTTTTTATTGCTAGTATTTTTTATATTTTTTTAATTAATGAGACTAATGACGTAATTCACCTATATTAAGCAACATTAAGCAACATAAAAATTAAAAACTAACTAAAATAGATGTTCTTATTGCTGAGTAAGAGGCTCCAGATGCAATTTATGTAACTGGGAGGTTTTAAAAATGACTTATTTGGTATAGTTTTCGCTTTTTCTCGTTTTTTTCAAATTTAGTATATTTTTCACTATTTAGCGTTTTTCTCAAAATGTTACTTTTCAACAAAATTGTACCAGTCAAATCACTATAACTCAAAAACTAATTGAGATATTTAGCTGAAATTTTGCACACATGTTTACTAAACACTGCTTGTAAAGTTGAACTAAAAGAATTTCTATATCTTTGAAACTTCTCATTTTATAAAAAAAAAGCTAAGTCTACTCCCTACTTTTTGGAAAAATTTTAGGTCTCACTTTTAAAAAATTTGGCTAAAATCCATTTTTTATTATTTTCTAATTCTTTTAGTTCATCTTTTTTGTAATTGCGTATATTACACTATATTAAAGATTTGTGTTATTCTGACAAACAGAAGCTGTGTTATTTTGATTTCAATGAGGGCTAATTTTGAGCTATTTTACCCTAAAAATGACACTTTTTAGAAAATATTTTCTCAAAACCATAACTTTTTAGTGATTTTTTTGCATTTTTTTCATATACTATGCTAGTTACAACTTCCTTATCACTCAAAAAAGTCCTAACACCTAAATTTCAATTTGGGGGTTTAACCTGCCCTTAAATCTTTGTAACACAAATTTTACATTCCGTTCGTGTTTTTTTTTACACCGGATCTGAAAGAGAAATAAACAAATTTAAAGTAAAATCCTCGGGAAAAATACCCAAACTTTTAACAAGTTAAAAAACCCACAACTAATCTATGGATGCAAATCAGTGGAGCAGGGGAATCCCCTTAGGGTTAGTGATTTCTGTGATGTAGTCAACGGAAGTTCTAAGACTTTTTTGTTGGAAGACTTTTTTGTTGTAAGACTTTTTTATTGTAAGACTTTTTTGTTATAAAACTTTTTTGTTGTAAGCATTTTTTGGTGTAAGACTTTTTTGTTGTAAGAATTTTTCCTTTTTTTTGGCTGGTTTAAGACTTTAGTTGGATGGTGTGGCGGTCAAGTTGTAAAACTTTTGTTGAATGTTACCTCATTAAGCCACCCAATTCTCCTTCTGATAACCTATGTAACACAAAGCCTCAGTTGTTGTTTTTTTTTTTTTTTAAAGAAGAAAAACTTAATTTGTTTTGTTTTTTTGCTAATTAGAGAACATTCTGACTCCCCCGAGTTCACTCATCAAAATACAAGAAATTCCAGTCTACACAATTCACACGAACAGCCATAAAACGAGGCGCGCAAAACAAAAGTTGTTAAGGCACAATGTGACAGCGCCACCTGTAGAATTAGCGCACAACAAAAAACATACAGACTTGTAGATAAGAAGGGGAACAACAGCAGAAACAGGGGGAACAACAACAGAAACAGGGGGAACAACAGCAGAAACAGGGGGAACAACAGCAGAAACAGGGGAAACAACAGCAGAAACAGGGGGAACAACAGCAAAAACAGGGAGGACAACAGCAGAAACAGGAGGAACAACAGCAGAAACAGGGGGAACAACAGCAGAAACAGGGGGAACAACAGCAGAAACAGGGCGAACAACAGCAGAAACAGGGGGAACAACAGCAAAAACAGGGGGAACAACAGCACAACAGCAGAAACAGGGGGAACAACAACAGAAACAGGGGGAACAACAGCAGAAACAGGGGGAACAACAGCAGAAACAGGGGGAACAACAGCAAAAACAGGGAGGACAACAGCAGAAACAGGAGAAACAACAGCAGAAACAGGGGGAACAACAGCAGAAACAGGGGGAACAACAGCAGAAACAGGGCGAACAACAGCAGAAACAGGGGGAACAACAGCAAAAACAGGGGGAACAACAGCACAACAGCAGAAACAGGGGGAACAACAGCAGAAACAGGGGGAATAATAGTTGTAACAGGGGGAACAATAGCAGAAACAGTGGGAACAACAGCAGAAATAGGGGGAACAACAGCAGAAACAGGGGGAACAACAGCAGAAATAGGGGGAACAACAGCAGAAACAGGGGGAACAACAGCAGAAACAGGGGGAACAACAGCAGAAACAGGGGGAATAATAGATGTAACAGGGGGAACAATAGCAGAAACAGGGGGAACAATAGCAGAAATAGGGGGAACAACAGCAGAAACAGGAGGAACAACAGCAGAAACAGGGGGAACAACAGCAGAAACAGGGGGAACAACAGCAGAAACAGGGGGAACAACAGCAGAAACAGGGGGAACAACAGCAGAAACAGGGGGAACAACAGCAGAAACAGTGGGAACAACAGAAAAAACAGAGGGAACAACATCTGAAACAGGGGGAACAACAGCAGAAACAGGGGGAATAATAGTTGTAACAGGGGGAATAACAGCAGAAACGGGGCAATAATAGTTGTAACAGGGGGAACAACAGCAGAAACAGGGGGAATAATAGTTGTAACAGGGGGAAAAACAGCAGAAACAGGGGGAATAACAGCAGAAACGGGGAATAATAGTTGTAACAGGGGGAGCAATTGCTACAGCAGGGCGAACGAGCGCTGTACCCGTGGAATAACCGTTACAACATGGGTGAAGGGAGGGGGTAGCTGCACTGTTTTAATTAACACCTCCGCTCCGCGTCTGTTGTTTTAAATAACTCACGGCAATTGTTAAAGAAAACAGACAATTTCAAACTACAGACCAGAGCAGATAGCTTATCTATTTCTGTCAAGGTTTGACTGGAAACTTTTTTCTCAAACATTTTGTTCTCCTAAGTTTTTGTTGTTTAAACTACGTTTTGGTTGTTTTTATGAGGCGTTTTTTAAAAACACATTTTGATAACACTCTAGCGCATTGTAGACTAGGCCTACATGCTTATTTTAACAACTGTTTTCTTTTTTGTACACATTTTTTTTCTCCAAATATTCCTTACATTATTTAGATCTAATATTACATTGCAGGTGCTTAGTATTTTAAGGTCGTTTTTTCCGTATTTTTTTCTTCTGCTGTTGTTGATATGAAGGGTAAAAGCAGTTATGGCGTTTTATATTGCGCAACCGTTTTAAAAAACATCGATTAGAATCTAGTTCAGTTTTGACCTAATAGACAAAAAGGTTGGCTCTAATTAAAGTAATTAGCTGATGGCGTACAGCGCGAGGAATGAACGGACATTGGTGCTGATGTGGTCTCCATACTGGTAGTGACCAACGGCATACGAGATTGGTGCTGATGTAGTCTCATCCTGGTGGTGACCAACGGTACACCAGTAACGTTACATTCATCAGCTTCGACTTCTAGCTTTTAATTATACTGTTGGACTGAGTTTTCTCCCACACAAGTATTACGTGTCAACTTGTTGTGCGCCATATAGGCCGTTGACTCAGATTTCAGCCTGTTTTTTTTTTTGGACTGGCTTCCATCTAATAACAAACTACAAGGCAGCAGTTGTTTGATATTGGAGTTTTCTATCCTAGATGGGTTGCTGCCTCCAACTATCGAGCCTCATCTACCCGTGCCCTGGTTTCGAACTCGGGACTTTTAGGTTTAGTGATTGAGCTTTACTGATCCGACCTTGCCGACAATCAATAGTGATTGATTTCTTTTTTAAAAAAGTGTTAAATGCACATTTTTGCGCACTTTTTGAACTGAGTCTATACGGGTCACGTGTGTAGATCTCCATCA